TCCGAGGTACTCGTACCCCCAAAACTGATTCAGAAAACGTGGTTAAAAACGCCAATGACATCAGCCGCAAATGCCGGAACGTTCAGGGAAGAGTGGCAACTTCAGTAAAAGCCAATTAACTTCCTCTAACTAAAATCCTGACCCGACAGATTATTTCAGTTTAAAAAACAGTGGCTATGAAGGATAATTAGAATGCACATGAGCCAAGACGATGTTGTTTTCAGTGACCTATTATTGAGGTTCATGTTGATGGACGCAAATGAGAAAGACCACGCCAGATGCAGAACATCTGACATTCGTGGGGCAAAATTGTCGACTGGTCGATAAAAATTATGCATTTGGGCGGCAAGTTTTCTGTAAAAATGGTTAAATCACTTACCCACGTTATTCTGCAATAGTCATTCGAACGTCTTTCGCTGTATTATCCGTTAGAGTCAAGGGTTATAAGCATGGCTTTTGTCATAAATAGGTAAAAACAAAACGCATACGTCCTGCATATTTATCCTTCAGAACGTCGAACCCAGGGGCGTTTCCACCTTGAAGCAACAAAAACCAATTTTTGGTTATTTTGCAAATGAGAAAGACCACGCCAGATGCAGAACATCTGACATTCGTGGGGCAAAATTGTCGACTGGTCGATAAAAATTATGCATTTGGGCGGCAAGTTTTCTGTAAAAATGGTTAAATCACTTACCCACGTTATTCTGCAATAGTCATTCGAACGTCTTTCGCTGTATTATCCGTTAGAGTCAAGGGTTATAAGCATGGCTTTTGTCATAAATAGGTAAAAACAAAACGCATACGTCCTGCATATTTATCCTTCAGAACGTCGAACCCAGGGGCGTTTCCACCTTGAAGCAACAAAAACCAATTTTTTGGTTATTTTGCTGATAACTGAACACCAAATATACACAATGCTCACCAAAATGTAGGAGCGGACTTTTGGCAGCTACCCAGACCTTCATTAACTATTCTGAATAAACGAATTCTCAGGGGTATGTGTGCCAGAAGCATTAACTTTTGGTTGAAAACGTCTGTTTTGATCGTCATTGTTACTCGTCATTCAAAACATGTCCGACGCTAATCCGAAGCTCTTAAGCACCACTTCCACAGTCTTCTACGTCAGATCTTGCGTCGTCCTAACCATTCTGGCCCCCAAAAATCGCTACTCTCACCGTGCCAATATCGTACAAGCCAAACCAACTTACTTCCGAGCTACCATGTTTCCGCTTTTGTCTTTATACCTTCCGTGTTCCCTAATGTTGGCACCAGAAGCAATGGATATCCGGTCCTACACACAAATTTAGTTATAGTATTTGCCTTAGAGGCGTCTTCTAATAGCATTTTCCAGCCAGAGGCGGCCTAGTCCTTTTAGAACTATCGCATTTGGCTTGGATACCTGCATCTCTGTTCCTAGTCTCGTCAATAACCCACTGATCATTGGGTTAGCTAAAATCAACGGAAAACGTCTCCTCCTCATCACATGTAATTAGTCCGATCCAGGATATATAGTAGATGGCTGCCGATGGCAAATGCCACTTATACTGGGCGGCGTGGCTTCCTTGCATGCGTTTGATTTCTGTATCTACGGATCAGTCGATTCCAAGCAGTAAGAACCATTCTTCATAGATTTTACAGGTTGCTCCCATATCCAAGAGCAGTGGCCATTGGCTTGGAACCTACCATAATGATATGCAACACTTACAATGCATCGATCTCCTTCGGATCAAAGGCTTTCCATTAGTAACGAGGTTCCACACATATTCCGCAATGGTTATCCTCCAGGCTCGGAAACGTCCCAAGTGGGTAAACGTGACTGTGATCTGGGCATCCATGCAACAAAACGTGAAATTTTAACGTAAACGTGTTTTATTCCGCTTGCAAACGTTTTTTAAAGCAATGGTCAGTCAAGTCGCGGCTTCCCTATACGTGTCCTCGCGCTCACAAGCATACTGCACAGCACGGAGAACTTAAAGACTAGAGATGCACCCTTTTTCACCTGTGCCCTTCAAGTGAGTGAAGGCCGTCGGACGACGAGAGCAAACACAACCCAGGAAACCTGAACGAAAGCGTCGATCCTAAGTGACATTCAATGAGTCCATGAATACCCGCTTAATTTCAGCTGAACACTAAGAAGCTCCGTGCGAAAACCAACTGCTGGGGCCAGATTTCGAGGCTTTGGCTTCCTGCTTCTGTGCATGATCCTTGAATTTACTCATTTGGTAAATACATCGACTTTGATATCAGTGAAAACTCACTTATCCATAGCCATCAATCAGTGAAAACTCATTACCTGACCTTGAGGGCGCTGGTTTGCATTTGTGGGCCATTCGCTGGCTGCTTAGGTCGGTCTGTTTTCGTAGGCGAATGATTTGTACGAATCAGGAAAATCACCGCAACTGATTCCCACAAGACCATTTAGCGGAGCTTCTGTCAGTGCAACCCGCAGTTTACTTCTGCGAACCGTTGAGTGAATCGCGAGGATATCCAGGTGAAACATTGGCGTTGACATCTGTGGAATGCTACCCTTTCGTGAGGGATCGTGATAACGCGCTGATGTGTGTCGATTGCGATAATGTGAAACGCTCCATCCGATCAACCATTTTCCACCGTTATCATCCAGAAATAATCTACAAAAGCCCAACAACCGGCGATTCAATTTACTGGCAGTTGATTAGTTGGTGATCAGTTGGGCGAGCTTGCTGAGTTGGGACACACCAGATCGCACACTGACGATGTTTACTCGCATGGTAGTCAAAGGCTCGCGAGCCAGCTCAGCAAATGGACCAATTACCAACTGATCAGCCAGTAGGCTGGGGATAGTTGGACAGTGGTAGTTGATCACTTGAGCTCAATCGAACTAACAATAGTTTAGACTTTCTGTCTTCCCTGGAGTGTAGTCTATATTGAGTCGGGTAGACGTTTAGAGAGACGTTTAGCTTGATAGTTCCCATCGGATGTACTACTGCCCAGCTATGAAGTACCTTGCTTCTCATTGTACAGGTGGCACAGTCGCTGTCCCGGTAACTATACCAGACAATGTTGCCGTCTGTGTGAAACCCATCGCAGAAAAGTAGTCTCAAAGGCACCACAATACTAGTTCTATAATCGATTGTCTCATGAGCTGATAAGATGTGAGCGAGGATTTATCTAGTTTGGCCTCCCAGGCCTAGCGTCATTGGTGATCTCGAAGGTTAATCTGCTCCAGTCACTGGCTGGCATAACGTTAACTTCTGATCCCACGTCTGTTGATCACGACTGATTGACCGGCTATGACGACTCTGAAATATTTATCCCGATCAACGATATCCTAACGCCAGTATTTCGGACCTTGAAGCGTCCCTTTGGAGGAGAACGAGAATCGAATATCTCCACCACACGGTAGGAATAATTTTGTGGTTCACCTGGCTGAGGACGACGTTGAAAAGGCAGCCAACCTTCAAAACTAGGCGTCCAGGTTTACGGGGTTGCAAATCCGTGAAGGTATCCTGCCTCAAAAATGTTTTTTAACCCAGCGACGTAGAGCGAGTTGTGCAATTCCCAGGTAAGCAAATAACCGAGGACATTTTGAATTGAGTCTCAGGTTGCTGAAGGTGCCGGTAGCAACATTAGCCAATCCAGCAACCAACGATCATAGTTACGTACGCAGATCCCTCGAACCATAACTAGTCGAGAGCCCAAGGATTGACAGGAATTGGTGGTGGGTCGCGAAATCCCGAAAAAAAACAAGGCTTTGCAACGGAAACAGTGGTACACTGTTTCAGACCGATCGGTCCGAGAAAAGTGGGTGTTAATGAAACGATCTTTGAAAAAGATCGGACCTCCATCCATTCACAAAAACTTCGTTCTGAGTCATAGGCTGAGCACAGCTAGACCCCATCAACTGACTCTGAAAGGACTGACTGAGACGTCATCAGTCCACCGTCGACGACGCCTCCGTCGGTTCAGAATGCAATTTCATCACTTCAGCGCAACCGAGCACCAGCTCCAGATGGTTTCCACCCAGCGCTTCAAAATATTTGGCGAGTCCGTCGTGACCAAACCAACCGTCCTACTCCAATGTATATAGATTAAGAGGGAAACGTCGACGGAATGAAGCGCTTCAACGGTGATCCTGATATTCACAAGGGGTGCAAAAAGTTTTGCAAAAACCATCGGGGCATTTGCCTAGTCGTCATAGCTTCCAAGTTCTCCTCTGGCTTATTCTACGCAGGTTTATCCGTCACCGGGAGAGTCCAATTGGCGGGAATCAAGGTAGGTTTCATCCTGATCGGGGTTACGTCGATCAAAGTTTCACTTTGCGACAAGTGTTGGAAATGTGCTACTCATCCCGACGACAAACGTTCATCGTCCTCGATCGTAGATATGCGTTTGACTCCATTGGTCGTCATAGACTGGCGGTGTCTAGTGACGTAAGGTGTATATTCTAAACTCATGTCCCTTTTAAAGGCTTTATATGCCTCTTCCCTTGAATGCTTACCTGTATACAGTAAATCCTCCACTGAGTTCATCACATCCACTGGTGTCATGTGGCGCTCTCTGTCGGCCTTTTTCTTCAGCTTCATTATTGATATGCTACTTGAGTTTTCTCCCTCCTCTAACATATCGGCGATCGAGGTACTTCTGGGGCTTTCGCTCACGTACGCCGCTGATGTTGCTGTACTTTGATTAAACTCTTTGGAAATTCAAGCTGTTCTAGACAACCTAATAAATCTACTGCATGTTTCGGTGTGAACTTCGCATTTGTAAATTACGAAGTGTTGGATGCTTGCAGGTGAACCGAGCCGTTCAGTGCATGGAATTCCATTGCTTCTCTGGGCGGATTTGAGCACGATTAACTGCCTGTGTTATCCCTTCCACCATAAGCCATATCCAAGACTGGACCCCAAAGACCTTGAACTTTTGTTTGTGAACTTTGCGCTTGAATTGCGTTCTTTTCCTGACCAGTTTTATTCCTCCGTTGTTTGCTCCAGTGATATCAACTGCTAAACAATTCACCGATGTCGCTAGCTCTTCGATGCTGTGTAACAGTCGAGGAGCTCGCTGAAGACAAATGCACCGTTCGACGTCGCATCTCTCTGAAGGATTCAAAACTGTCTTTGGTTCGGGATGACGCCCATCAGCTGTTGCTTCGCCTCACGCCAATCAAAGAAACACGAACGAACAGTTTCATTTTGAAGAGTCTGGGTTATCCAGTGCTTGAGCTGGATTTGCACAAACGCTTCCTTAGCCAAGGCAAAGCAACTATATCCCTGCCCGTGCATTCAGTACGGTTATTAATTAGCAATTGTCCCCCAGACAGGTTACGTCTTTTCCTCGGTACGTTACGGGTAAAGCTCAAGGCCACACAAACTGCAGCTCGACGCAGAGTTGAGCGGGATGCACCTCCTACTTCCTTGTCGTTGCTGGAGGAGGTTAGCCCACTTCGGCTCTCCAAGTCTGCAAGCCGTCCATTAACTCCTCCAGATCTCTCCGGAATTCCAAAAATAGAAGGTGAGGCGGTTCGTAACACTGGATTTTCGTAATCATACGATACTTCGCTATCCAGGCAGTAGCCCCAATAGGCCTCAAGTTAGCGTTTTCCCAGAATAATTTGTTGGGTTCTGGTGTTTTGGGACAGGATGCAGCGAATGATCTGGGTTTAGAGAGTGCTGGGAGAGGGGTTATTGGAGGACCACTTCAGTTCAAATTTGTCTTCACAGCTAGTAATCCTTCATTTGCAACACCCTTTCGGTGCCTGGCTGACATGCCACCCAAAGAAGGCACGAGGGCTGGAATACTGCCAGGTCGCCCAGGTCTAGATAGAGAAAGTCTAGATGAAGAGGTCGGGTTCGAACCATGAATCTTCCAGTCAATTAATTCGCGCCCTACCCACTTAGCCATTTCGCCTGCCGGTGGTTCACAAAAACTTACTTGAGTCCGATTTTGTTCTCTTTGCTTTCTAACACGGCTAAAGTTCGTTTTTATTGTACGAAACACTGTTCATAAGGTTACTCACGATGGGGCGAGATGGCTTAATGGCGCGAATTTACTGACCGGGAGGTCCGTAGTTCCAACTCGACATTTGCCTCTCAGCTTCCCCGGTCTAGGTTTTGGCAACTTGGCAGTATCCCAGCCATCGTGCTTCTTTCGCGCGGCATGGCAGCTAAGCACCGAAAGGGCGCTACTGCTGAATGGTTATCTTAGTTTACTCACGACGGTTTTCACTATTATTAGGGTCCACTAACGTTAACCGAGTTTCCACCAACCTAATAATCTACTTGAAGTAAAAAAATTTCCACTTGAAAATTCGCGGAATATACTAAATTGGTTATTTGCTATCACGGGAAAAGATGGTTTGTTAAGCTGGCGACCTCTCTTCAAAAGACCGCTTACAGTGGTGCTTTTTTTGCTCCATGATATCCTTGTTGTTTGATTCAATAGCGGACAGACCCTACCTTGGGTTTGGGGTGGAGGACGGCGCAAAGTAGACTGGGTGTTCTTAAGAAAGTGGACGACAGCATATGCTATTTATCACGTCTGTGGATGTTGGACACTCTGATATAGCTATAACGCTGAGATGATATATTTTAACTCATCACTAAAAGCCATCAGATAATGATATACACCTAGGCTCACTGTAGTGCAAAAATGGTTGTTCTGTGATGTGCGTTTGATTGTGGTTTCATTCTGGAAAGCCGCCTAATTGTCTGTCTCTCAATTCGTCCGTATAAAATAAAAAAAACAGGGAATTTTCTCCCACTCGAATATGGAGTTCCGCAGTCTGCTCTTCAGAAATAATTCAGATACCGGCCTGCCACTTTCGTTGCTTTTTGGATAGTTCAGCTGTATTGCGTACCAGATGCCTCATTCGGGTTTAGATAGTCCTTCGTTGGAATTTTTACGGGCCTCACATAGTATTTGTCATAATCTGAGGCCCTTTTTGCTGGCTTTTCTCAATTTCGTTATTCAGACTTTTCAGGAGGCATTTAAATCGGTGTTCGTATGGTTTTAGTAGTCCTTTCTGGCAGTGCTCCTCCGCTTGCTCTTTAAATACCTGAAAGGTGGCACTTCCTTTCTTCTATTCGGTTTTGAAATCTTGTGGAAGCGTGACTTATTAAAAAAGCTAACGGTTGGATCCTGCTAACGGAACCCCACCGGTCTGTTTTTGTGATTTTATTCTATTGTGCCTAATATACTACATGCACCACTGTCTCTGTCAAATCTGAATGAAGAAGCTAACCTTGTGATTTCTTTGATTTAGGAAATTTAGATGTTTTGGCTCCCGATGCCTGTTCCAGTGACGCACTCCGGGATGGCCGTTGTTCATTNAGACAGTGAAACGGATAGGTCGCTCGTTCAGTCATGTTGTCAGTCCCTTGAAAGATGGATCCTCTGTAACGACACAAAACGACCTGCAGATGAAGGTAGTTGAGTTGGTCAAACGAGGATCCAATGTCTTTTGTACAGGCGGTGCTGGTACGGGGAAGTCTCATCTCATTCGGCGGTTAATCGGTAAGTTTTGTTGATCAGGTTCTCAAACTGAGCTGATTTCCTTGTTGTCCAGAAGTGAGCTGGGTACCTTGAGGTCGACCTTTATTAGAAGTCTAAGTGACACTTCCATTTTCCTCCAAATCTCTGTTGATTATGGAACCGTGTTTTGCATTTATCAATACTCCAAGACAAACCTGGTGACATGGAGATTACGGCTCCACTGGCTTCTAAAACAGCGTAAGTTGACCGTGAATGCTGTGACATCGAAGGTGCTCTCCGGCCTTATCCGGTTGATTGAACACAAGGAGAGGCAGATCCATGAAAACCAAGCTGGGTTCCGTCCTGCAAGAGGCTGTATCGATCATATCTTCACCCTCCGACAGATTCTGGAACAGCGACACTGCTTCCAGCAACCAACAATGGTTGTTTTTCTTGATGGGAAAACTGCCTTTTACTATGTGGAATACCAAGCACTATGGCAGTGTCTGTGAAGCAAAGGTGTCCCCCATAAATTCTTGACCCTCATTAAGGAGCTAGACGAGAAGTTTTTTCCTGAGTTCACCACATTAAGTGGTTTCCGACAGGGCTGCCCTGTTTCACCTTTCCTTTTCAACTTCGTCATTGATACGATCATGGAAGACTCACTACCAGCCTCTAATGCCTGTGGGGTCGAAGTGCTCCCTGGAGCTCCGCTCACAGACGTCGAGTACGCAGACAACATAGCTCCTCTGGGATCTGACCCCGTGGTAATGCAAACAATATTAAATAATCTAAATAATTCTGCCTCTAGGTTCGGCATGCATTTCACACCTGCAAAGTGTAAAATGCTACTGCAAGGCTGGGTGGGTTCGAACCCTAGCCTCACGCTTTCGGATGAACCGATTGAGGTAGTAGACAAATTTTTTTACCTGGACAGCTGTATCAGTCCCGGTCGTCTGGCGAAAGATTATATTTCCATCCGGACTGGGAAGGCCAGAACAGCTTTTGCGAACCTACGTCACCTGTGGCGTAGGCTTGACATCAGCTTCTCTGTCAAGGGTCGAGTTTACAATGCTGCGGTGCGCTCCATATTACTATATGGGTCAGAAAACTGGCCGCTGCGCGCCGAGGACGTCAAAAGACTTTCAGTGTTTGACCATCGATGTCTTCGGAGCATTGCCCGAATCTGGTGGGAACACCGGATCAGCAATTCTGA